AGGCTTCTATTCAGCATTGAATTTAAATCCAGTGCCAAAGGCAAGCCCTGCGTGCAATAGGAATGCAATCCACTCCTGGTCCTTTGAAGCTGAATCACCTGGTACCATGTGACCTGGCAAAAGTGCCCTGTGGAGGCTGGATCCAGTTCCCCAGCCCTGCACTGACTGGCAGCAGTTCTCCAGGGTTTCAGGCAGTGGCCTGTCCCAGTCCTACCTGAAGATGCCAGGGGTCAAATTTGCAATCTTCTGCATGCAGATTATATGTTCTGCTACTGAGCTACAGCCTTGCTTCTATTCCTCTAGCTCATTGATGGCCTCTTGCCTAAGAGGACACAAAACTTTGGAGCCTTTCTGTGATGGATCTACCAAGTCGAAGAGAGAAAATATCTTCCCTACTTTGGGAAGTCTTAACTCCAAGGTGCAGGCGGTTTCTTGTTTTTCACCCGGTTGTTAGAAATCCTGCTGGCAACACTAAGGAGGAAATGAATTTTTCATGTGGTTTTAAAATATTGATTGTTTTACTGGAGCACTAAATAAAAACAGAAAGGCTTCTGTGGGAATCTGACATTTGGGAATACTGTGGTTTCTTTCTTATATTCTCCCAGAACAGTGTAACAGGGCTGTGGCATATTAGAGGACTAGGTGCCACAACTAACACACCAATCCCTCCCTGTGATCAGTGTCTGGAGGGCCACAGTTTCCACACTCCTGGTTTTTATTTTGTTGGGTGATATCCAAGGGAACTCAATCCAAGGGAACTGTAAGAAGCTAAAGAAGGCCACTTACACCCTCCATTAAAAAGAATCAAGGGGATTGTGGGATAAGGAGAGCACATGAAGTTTGCACTAGGCCGGAAGCAGTGGTGCTTAAGAACATAAGAAGAGCCTTGCTTTTGCATCAGGCTAAAAGCCCATCTAGTCCACCATCTTGTTTTCACAGTGGCCCAAAGGGGAAGCCTGCAGTGTAATGGTACTTTCCTCTCTTGAGATTCCCATCAATAGTACAGTGGTACCTTGGGTTTCATACACTTCAGGTTACATACGCTTCAGGTTACACACTCCACTAAGCCAGAAATAGTACTTCGGGTTAAGAACTTTGCTTCAGGATAAGAACAGAAATCGGGCTCCAGCAGCACGGCAGCAGCAGGAGGCCCCATTAGCTAAAGTGGTGCTTCAGATTAAGAACAGTTTCAGGTTAAGTACGGACCTCCGGAACGAATTAAGTACTTAACCCGAGGTACCACTGTATTCAGAGGCATACTGCTTCCAAACGTGGAGCTAGAACTGACTAATAGTTGCTGATAGCCATCACAACATCTAGTAGGAGTAAATTCCATAGTTTTAACTATCAGCCCCAACCATTGGCTAGGCTGGCTGATGGTGTCCAACCGTGTTTGGATGGTCAAAAGTGCCCCATCCCTGCTGTAGACCTTCATGGTGTCCGAACTCTGCTGCTGCCTCATGGCAGGGTCACCTCAGCTATTATGCTCCATCCCTACTTCTGGCCCCCAGCCTTCCTTCATCCTTAAATTTATTGCTTCCCATTTGCTGCCTGAGCCCCCCAAAGTCAGCTCCCGATGTCAGCAAGTTCAGGCATTGCCTAGGACCTCTATGGTGGCAAAGGCCCTGTTGCCCTAAGTGCACAGCTGCCGTCGCATGGCAGAGAGCACAGGAGGCGGTTGGTGGTGTAAGAGAGTCCTTAGTTTGCAGAGAATTAGGGGAGGCTTTGCCCTGAAGGCTCCTTGAATCCCAGAGCTGGCACTCATGTGCTGAGCCGCCCAGATAGGCGTCTCCCTTGCACTTCAGGTCGTCAGGGGATGACAGCTCAGCGCCAACATCTTTATGAGAAAATTGCAAGGCTCCCTCACCCACACAATCCCCAGGCCCGACTTTGTTTATTACATCTAATTTGTCTGCACAAAAGCTGGCTCACTGCATAATGACAGGCTTGGTTGGCTGTTGTGACTTTCTGATTTTCTTTCTTTTCTTTTTTTCCGACCCCCCTCCCTTAACTTTTTAATATATTTTTTGCTGTAGTGGTTGCAATATTTAAAGCTGTTCCACCAAGTTAGGTGGGGGGTGCATGTGCGTGCTGTTATTTATTTTATATCACTACTACTTTTAGTAGTAGTTAATTTAGACCACATTCACACCATGCATTTCAAGTGGTATGATATCACTTCAAACAGTCACAGCTTTCTCCAAAGTACTCTGGGAGCTATAGTTTGTTAAGGGTGCTGAGAATTGTTAGGAGACACCCTATTCCCCTCCCAGAGCTACAGTTCCCAGATGGGTTTAACAATCAATCCATCTTTGCAAGGGTCTCTGGGAATTGGAGTTCTGGGAGAGGAATAGGGGGTCTCCTTACAATTCTCAGCACCCTTGACAGACTACACTTCCCAGGATTCTTTGGGGTAAACTGTGTGTTCAAAGCAGTATCATGTTGGTTTAAATTTATGGTGTACATGCCACTTAATGCCATAACAAGGCTTCTAAGGCTTCTAAATAGTTGGTTTTTTTAAAAAAACCAATTACACAAACATTAAAATGTAAACACCCATAATTAAAATGCACAATAAAACAGTCCCATTAAAATATAAACCTGGAGAGGTGAAGAGAAGCTTGCAAACTGGATGCTTATTTAAAGGGACTTCTTCTTCTTAAGGGTATTCCAAAGCCTTGGGCCATCTAACTAATGGTTCCATCCTGTAATGCTGCTCCCTGCAGCTCTGTTATTTCAAGTGCATTGCAAACCCTGACATTGCCAGGGATCAGAGATGGCAAAGAAAAGCTACCAATTTTCAATCTGCGGGCGTCCAGGACTGCAGCCTCCTGGCAAGAGGCAATTTATCCTTCATCTAGTCTGGGAGCTGGGGAGCTTGTTCCCTTACAAGGAACCCTGAACCTCTGTGTGTCTCCTGTAAATGGAGTAGGGGCTTGTCATGCAGAGAAACAGCTTCTGAAATTCTTCTTGGTCAAAGGAGGACAGGAGCACAATAACTAAACTGCAGCCCAGGTGTATACATTCAACAGAGCAGCTGAAAAGTATTTTCTCCAAAGCATTCTCCTCTAAAAATGCCCAAGTAGGAACAGATGAATCTGTTCATTTTGGTTTTCTCCATATATCTTTTTTTTTTTCCAAACTTAAATTCAGTTCTCTGCATTTCCTCAGCAATTGTTTTTTCCCCTTTTTAATCCTCATGGAAATTCATCAGCACTTCAGTGAGAATTTCTTCTAATAAACACATTTCTGTATGCAATTTTGATTAATAAACACATTTTTGCAAGCAATTTCCCCAATATAATGCATTGTGGTATGTAATCTTGTGTGTTATTTTTCACTAATATATGCATTTTCATGCACACTTTTCAAGTAGAGAACTGCATTACAAAGTTTGAAGAAGTATGAATTTTGAAGGATAGCTGTGTTTCAGTTTGCATATTGTGAGAAGTCCTAATTAGGTGGTTTCAAATTATAATGCAAACAAAAGCAAATTTCTTCCCTCACCCCATTATTCTCCAGATAGCTGCTGAAGATTTCTCATCTTTATTTGACATCATACAATATCAGATTTCAATATTTGGCAAGATATAATGGCAGACAAATGAGGTGGAATTTCTGCCTGTACTGATTAATATCTAGTGACTCAATCACATGAGAAAGCTGTCACTTGAGAAGTCAGTGCACGATGAACTCAGGGAGGACTATAGCTCTGTGGCAGAGTGTATTCCTTACACCAGGGGTGGGGAACCTTTGACCCACAGGTCAAACATGTCTCATGAGTCCATTGAAGGGAAGCACATGCCCACATGCCCTATACCCGACATCATACATGCTGTCAGGTGTGGGGAAGATAAGGGTGGTGCTCCATAGGAACGATCAGGAATGGACTCCAGATTGCTTTAAGTGGACTTCATCATGCTCCTTTGGACTGGAGCAAGACTTGCTCTCAACGGACCATCATCTTTTCACCTAAGAATACCCAACATGGTGCCTTCCAGTTGTTGTTGGACTGCAAATACCATCAACGCTGACCACTGGCTATGTTGGTTGCAGCTGATGGGAGTTGTTACTCAACAATTTCTGGAGGGCACCACATTGGCTATCCTTGTTGCAGCCTATTTAAAAATATTTATATCCTGTCTTCCCCATAAAATGTCCAAGGTGGCTCACAAGAAGCAATAAAAAGACTATAAAGGACATCTTAGCAATAACAGCAAAAGATGACAAAAGACAGCTGGCAAAATAGCTTAAAACCGAGGATTTGTGTGCCTGAGGGAGCTAAAATTAACAGCAGGCCAGGCCAAATTCCTGTCTAAAGAAAGGCCTTTATAGAGTGCCAAAGTGTAAGTGCAGCCACCGAAAAGGTCCTATGCCCCACCTGCAGAGGCTGACGTTTTGCACAGATTGCATCAGTCGACAATCTTAATACATAGAGTCATAGGTGAGAATATGGCCAAAGCTCAGTAATAAAACATATGCTTTGCATGCAGAACATCCTGGGTTTGATACCATAGGGCAGGCATAGGCAAACTCAGCACTACAGATGTTTTGGGACTACCACTCCCATCATCCCTAGCTAACAGGACCAGTGGTCAGGGATCATGGGAACTGTAGTCCCAAAACATCTGGAGGGCCGAGTTTGCCTATGCCTGCGATAGGAACAAAGAAAGCTGCTTTAGATTTAGTCAGACCATTTGTCTGTTTAGCTCAAAAAAGAAGAAGTATCCAACCTTTCCTTGGTGATTGTCCTCATCCTCTGTCTTCTTCAATACTAACATGTCACAAACCAACTTGAAAGCCTCATGTTCAACCCAATCACTTACCACGCCCAATAGCATGCCATCACTTACCCTGGCACTCCAGCATATAGCATCATCACTGCTGTCCTGAAAACAGTATCAGAGCTGTGCTCCCATAGGGAGGTCCATCTAGCTCAGTATTGTCTACACTGACACGCAGCAACTCTCCATGGTTTCCAGCAGGGGACATTCCTTACCCAAAAACACCAAGGATTGAACCTAGGACCTTCTGCATGCAATGCAGATGTTTTACTACTGAGCTACAGCTCATGCCTTTTAATGGGATCCATAGGACTGCAGATTCTACAGAAGACTAATGGAGCCTTATGATTCGATTCAGGCCACTATCTGCTCAGATCAAATCAAGTGAATCCACTTTGAGATCTGAGTTCTGCAGGTTCCTTTTCCATCCCAATTACACTCCAACAACACCCTGAAGCGCCATTTTAGCTACCCCCTAGGGTAGGCAGTGTTGAGCTAGATGAACCAATGTTCTGACTTGGATGATACAAGGCAGCTTCCTAAGGCCATCCTTTAAGTATCACATTAGACTTCAAAGGCCATGAGCGTCACTTTGAATGGGCCCCAGAAATGACTCAGAAGCCAATGCAAGAGATGCTCATATTCTAGATAACTGGCTCTGTTCAAGAATCTATAACCACTGGATTCTGGAGAGTTGAAGTTTCTAGGTAGCCTCACATGGAGTGTGTGGCAGTAATCCAGTCAGGTTGTAATGAAAGTATGGGTCACCATGGTCAGATCTGCCTTTTCCAGGACCAGACATGGCTTCCACCTTCATCTGCCCCAGCTACAGCAAAGCATGTCTCTCCCATATCAGTCTCCACAGCCACAGCAGGCGCTGCAACCTTCCAACAGTGTGACCTTACCTTCAAAGACACAGTCCTCCATTGCCTCCCAAGACAGACAGATGCCAGCAATTAATTTTGCAATCGGAGAGCCAGTGTGGTGTAGTGGTTAAGAGCGGTAGTCTCATAACCTGGGGAACCGGGTTCGCATCTCCACTCCTCCACATGCAGCTGCTGGGTGACCTTGGGCTGGTCACACTTCTTTGAAGTCTCTCAGCCCCACTCACCTCACAGAGTGTTTGTTGTGGGGGAGAAAGGGAAAGGAGAATGTTAGCCGCTTTGAGACTCCTTAAAGGGAGTGAAAGGCGGGATATCAAATCCAAACTCTTCTTCTTCTTCTTCTTGTAAGGAGTACAAAATAACATACGAGAAGTATTTTGACCATTCAGAAGCACAATATGAATCAGGAGTGGGGAACCTTTCTCTGTCTGAGAGCTGCAATCCCTTATGGGCAACCTTCGGAAGGCCACATCCCAGGAGTGGGCGGGGCCAGAGGCAAAAGAGGGTGGGGCCATAAATGCAAATTTTACTTTGTACAGTAGGCTAATTTCTACACAAGCTCACACCTCCCTCTTGATATGCCACCCAATAAAGCAAGAGGCGTTATCAGAGTTACAAGCAAAGACATTCCAGGAGGGTGTGAAGCCAGGCCTTGGGAGTGAGAGGTGTGGGAAGGGGAAGGAGTCTGAGGGCCAGATTGAGAAGTCTGCAGGGCCACATTTGGCCCCCAGGCCTAAGGCTCCCCACCCCTGATAGGAATGCTAAGGAGTGTATTATGTAGGGTGAGCTTGCAGCCCTAGTATTGCCACTTGCCTTTCGATTCTTTTCCTAACGCCACCATCGCTTCTTCTGTAAGCCCAAGAAGGCATAATTCTGCCAATACCTTTTCCCTGGTACAATTTACCTTTCCGGTTGCAATAGCAGTGCCAGGTAGCCTATGGCACCCCTGCTTAATATGCTAACAAGATTGCTAATGATGCCTGTTAATTAGTCAAGCTACGCACGGAACGAAGTCATTTCCTCCTTGGAAGGAAGCTTTCTGAAGGGTCCTAATGAGGTTATAACAAATCCCTCGCATACTGCTTTGCACATAGACGACGTGGAAAATGCAACCCATGAGGTTGGCTCTAGCTTTTGGGGTGTCCTCTGGAAACATGGCTCAGAAGGGCCCCTCTGCTGATGGGGGGACAGACAGTAAAGGTTTTTCCTCTGGTAAAACATGGTCCCAATTTCATCCCAAAGTTTGCTTTTTGAGCAAACTAACTAATGAAAATTGAGATTGCTTGAATGACTATGGTAGCCATGAGTCAGGATTCACCTACCTCGCTGGAAACCCTGGAAGTTAAATTTCTGAATGGGGGGGGGGAGGGTTGCATAAATCAGGTAGCCCAGGTGGTGCCCTTCAAATGTCGCTGGACTCCAGCTCCCATCATCCTTTGAGCACTGGCTATGCTGGCTGGAGCAGATGGGCACTGTAGTCCAACAACCTCTGGAGGGCATCCCTTGGCAACCCCTGGTGCAGATGAATCCCTAGTGCACATCCATGCACTGGAACACTAAAGCGCATTGCAGCACGCAGCCTGCTGTTTCACACACCGCAGCTGCTGAGATATAATTTGAACTGCTGATTACATAGGATAGTACAGTTGCATTTATAGATCTTCAACCATGAGCGCAACTATTCTCTTTTGCTTTAGCATTAGTGCAGAGTGAATGAATACAACATAGAGTATTTGCAGCAGACCCAAAGCAGATGCTCCACCCAGAAAGGGCTGTGAAGAAATGTTAGTGGATTAATGTTCTATGCACAGCTGCAAGGAACTCTGGAGCACCGAATTATTATTATTATTATTATTATTATTATTATTATTATACACCAGCCACTCTGGGTGGATCCCAACACAGGACTAAAAACAGAATAAAACTTCAAACATTAAAACTTCCCTAAACAGGGCTGCCATCAGATGTCTTCTAAAAGTCAGACAGTTGTTTATTTCCTTGACATCTGATGGGAGGGCGTTCCACAGGGTGGGCGCCACTACCGAGAAGGCCCTCTGCCTGGTTCCCTGTAACCTCACTTCTCACAGTGAGGGAACCATCTAAAGGCCCTCGGAGCTGGACCTCAGCATCCAGGCTGAATGGTGGGGGCTCATACAGGGCAAAGGCAATTCTTGTTATGTTATGGATTCCATCACAGTTTGCTTTCTCCTTCTGAGAGGTCCTGCCAATTTTAGCAGCCAAGGTAACTTCCACGGAAGTCTGCTTTGGGATATTAGAGGTGACCTAGTGAGGTTGTTATCCCTCCAGGAAGTCCCAGACTCTGCTCATGGTCAGCAACATTAAGTTTCAAATAACATTGTTTGGCCACCTCATTTAATTATACAGTCTCAACGTTTGCCTACTTTCTTATTCTCCCCCACTCTACAGAACTATAGAGTTCTATCATGCAGTGTCTCTGCCCACCTTCTTTTTCCCCAGACCACAGAATACTGGAGGGCCTGGCTTTTGCCTCCCCTGCTGTAAGGTATCTATCTTAAAGGACCATTGGTCATCCTGTCTTGAGATTATGGGAGCTGGAATCCAACAACCTCAGAAGGGCACCAGGGCCCTCCACCCCTGGTATAAACATTAATGGACCAGTTTCCACTTCATTAGATGCATGAAACAATCCCAAATTATAACTAAGAAATATCTTTTTCCTTCACCCTCCCAGTCCCTTTTCCTTTTGTATCATGTCTTTGTAGATTATAAACCTAGAATCATAGAATCATAGAGTTGGAAGAGACCACAAGGGCCATCGAGTCCAACCCCCTGCCAAGCAGGAAACACCATCAGAGCACTCCTGACATATGGTTGTCAAGCCTCTGCTTAAAGACCTCCAAAGAAGGAGACTCCACCACACTCCTTGGCAGCAAATTCCACTGTCGAACAGCTCTTACCTGTGGGAAGAGACTGTCCTGTTGATATTGATTTGGGAGCCACACTAGGAACCTTTTCTGACTGATGTGTGGAGTCTTTGAGTGAATGAATTAATTAATGAATGAATGGAGAGAGAGGAACCCAAGGATGTGTGTGTGTAGAGGAAGGTCAGAGGGAATAAAAAAGGACAGATAATTACACAAAAGCAAATAGCTACAACAGCAATTATCAGGGCTGCCTTGGTGATAACAAAAAGTCCTGGCATTTGTTAATCTTTGAGGTATCACAAGACGCTTTGTTGATTTTGTTACAAGAGACTAACAACACAAATCTAACCATGTCTATTGAGATATAAAGGTTAGGATTGAAGGCTAACATGGCACCACTCTGGAAATTCTAGCATTGGCAACCTAACTGACACACACCATGTGCTTTTTAAAAAAGCATTATCTTGATTTAAGATGCAGATTTGAATCTTCTGATTATAATTTGGCATTTCCCTGTTGCAGTCTCCATTTGAAATTCTTTTGTTCAATAGCCACCTTAAGATCAGTTGCAGAATATCCTGGGAGCCCGAGATATTCCCTCACTGGCTTTTCCCTAATGCCATTTCCAATATCAGATTCGTGCCCATTTTATTTTATTTTTAATTGTTTCGCAGTAGGAATTAACCAGTTTGGCCTATGCAGAATGCAAAGCAGCTACACAGGTAGATGGGAGTTTATAGCTCATGCTGGAAGTTGAGCAGGTAGATGAACCCCTGATGCTGTGGGTGTTTTGAGGTCCTTAATAGCGTTGCATGAGTAGACATAGGGACCAAGGCTACATTAGGGGAATAAGGGTCTTTCCTAACAATGCTCAGCACCCTTAACAAGCTACAGTTCCCAGGATTCTTTGAAGAAGGCTTCCAGGGATGGGTGCCAGTGGTGGCATGACTAGAGCCACAAGAGGGCAGAGTAACTGATGCAACTCTTGGCACTGAAGGCTAATGGTGGAAGAGTCCAACGGCTCTGGTTTATCTCCGCTTCTCATTTTTCCCATCTCAGCTAATGGTGGAAGAGTCCAACGGCTCTGGTTTATCTCCGTTTCTCATTTTTCCCATCTCCACATCAGTTCTCCACATCAATTTGCAAATTCTTTTTCAGAAAAAGTTTTCCCAAAAGTTCATTAGCGTTTTAATGTGGATTTCTCCTGAATCTACACATTTTTGCAAAGCAACTTTCTCCAGTATAAAGCATCTTTGTACTCTGTTTTCATAAATATATGCAATTTTATAAACAATTTACCTAATATGTACATGTTTGTGCACATTACTTGGCTGCATTATAAAATTAGGAGAAGCGCAGTTTTCAAAAGACAAATATGCTTTGATTTGCATATTGTTTCAGGAAATGTGAATTAGGTAAGGTAAAGGTAAAGGGACCCCTGACCATTAGTTCCAGTCGTGACTGACTCTGGGGTTGCGGCGCTCATCTCGCTTTATTGGCCCAGG